ATAGGGAACATTTGGTAAGTATGAAAATTTTAAAGAGAAAAAGGACCTAAATTTTTTTAAAGAGAAAAACTATCTCAAAATTTTTAGAAAGAAAAACTATATCAAATTTTAACTTTTAGAGAGAGAAAGTATGTTAAAATTTTAGAGAGAGAAAGTACCAAATTTTGTTAGAGAGAAACTATCTCAAATTTTAAACTTTAGAGAAAAACTATCATATTTTAGAGAGAGAAATTATCTCAAATTTTTAGAGAGAGAATCTATTTCAAAAATTTTAGAGAGAGAAACAATATCAAATTTTAATTTTTAGATAGAAAAATTATAAACATTTTTAGAGAGTACCTAAAAATTTTTAGAAATAGAAATTATCTCAAAAGTTTTAGAGAGAGAAATTATATCAAATCTTAAGTTTTAGAGGGAGAAAGTATTCTTAAAATTGTAGAGAGATAAAATTTTCTTAACTTTTAGAGATAAATTATTATAAATTTTAGAAAGAGAAACTGCCAAAAAACATTTAGAGAGAGATATATCTCTCAAGTTTTTAAGAGAGAAACTATCTCGAATTTTGAGGTTTAGAGAGATAAAATATATTAAAATTTTAGAGATAGAAATTATATCAAATTTTAGAGAGAGAAACTACCTAAAAAATTTTAGAGATAGAAATTATCTGAAAATTTTTGGAGAGAAACTATTTCAAAATTTATGTTTTAGAAGGAGAAAGTATTTTAAAATTTTAGAGAGATAAAATATATCAAATTTTAGATGGAGAAAGTATATGAAATTGTTAGATGGAGAAACTATATCAAAAAAAAATTTAGAGAGAGAAACTCTCAAAATTTAATTTTTGGTGACAAAATGTATCTCAAATTTTAAACTTTAGAGAGAAAGTATATCAAATTTTAGAGAGACACTATATCAAATTTTAAAGAGAGAAAATATCTCAAAATTTTAGAGAGAGAAACTATCTCAAACTTGAAGTTTTAGATAGAGAAAACATATTAAAATTTTAAGAGAGTAACTATATTAAATTTTAGAGAGAGAAAGTACATAAAAATCTTTAGAAAGAGAAACTATAGCAAAATTTTTAGAGATAAATTATCTCAAATTTTAACTTTTAGATAGAGAAAGTATCTTAAAATTTGAGAGAAATACTATGTCATATTTTACAGAGAGAAATTACTTAAAAATGTTTAGAGAGAGAAACTATCTCAAAAAGTTTTAAGTTTTAGAGAGAGAATTTTAAAATTTTAAAACGAGAAACTATATTAAATTTTAGATAGAGAAATCACCTAAAAAATTTAGAGAGATAAACTACCTCAAAATTTTTAAAGAAACAATTTCAAATTTTAAGTTTTGGATAGAAAGTATATTAAATTTTATAGAGGGAAACCATATCAAATTTTAGAGAGAAAAACTATATGTAGACACACTATCCCAAATTTTGAGTTTTAGAGAGAAAGAAGTATATTAAAATTTTAGAGAGATTTGGAATCCATGAATTTGGAATAGTTTATCCTATCAAGAGATTTGAGGAATCCATGATAAATATCCTAGATATTGAAAATCCATGGATTTCAAATATCCAATATACCTAATTTCCTTCTATCCAAACGGGCCCGTAGATCGTCGATCCAATAGAAAATGGATTTTGAATGGCGGATGGGTGGCGTGGCGCATGATGCTCTGATGGGGACCCCAACTCATCCTAACACTTGCTTCCTCATTATTTTTAATATATTTCTATCCCTTTTTCATTTCATAGTGGGGAGATGTGCGTATATTTCTAAGCAAGCACGAGGCCTCCCATTTTCCTTTGCCCCCCATTAGGGTAGGGCAAGCAATGGGCTAGGCCGCCAGGACCGGATGGCTTAGTCTAAAAAAAACAAAAGTAGGTCTTGGCCTACAAAATATGGCCTAAGGGCCAAGCCGCTACCATACCCTACGGGCAGGGTCGGGCAAGGGCTACGACATGGCTTGGTTTGGCTTAGACCTGATAGGGCCAGGGCTAGACCTGGCCCTCTTTTGCCAAGGCAAGCTGGGCCTCGACTGGCCCTATGGAAACAAGGGCTGAAGCAGGGCCAAGGCGAACTCGATCCATTGCTAGCCTAGGTGGTGGCGGTGGTATTAGCAATTAATTATAAATAAATTTTGAGAGGCAAAAAAAATTGCAATTCAAGTACTGATAAATGTTTAAATCGAGCATGTCAGCTTGAACATTGTGATTGAGGATTTTAAGTTCTAAAAATAGTGTATATTGCAACAAATCATCTAGACCACTCATTTCAACTTAAAAATAAGTCTTAACAAATCCGCAAGATCTGTACTATTTTCTTATTTTTCAAATTTTATTATCGGTCTTGGAAATTGATTTTAGATTCATCATGAAGATTACCAATATCGAAAGTAATTTCGGGATGAGGATTTGACCGCGAGGCTTTATTTTGCTTTCATATAAACGCTGGCCCTATAAAAACTTCATCCGTGTATATTTTGTATGAAAAAAGTATACATAGAGCTGAGCCTATAAACAATCAAATTAGAGCCTACCTCAAAAATTTCACTAGAAGAGGTCGACTTGATGCCCAAATATCCTCAAATTGATCATCTCAACATCAAGATGCATGAACATGAGAAAAAAATAGAATTCAAGTTTTGGAAATGGTGCATCTTGTAACGTATTTTTAGACCGTCAATTTTCAAGATTTTTATAGATCTGCTCGATCTACACTATTTTTTAAGCTTTAAATTTTATAATTAAAAATAAAAATATATTTAAGGCTGTTATAAATATTTTTAGTATTAAAAACCACTCGATATTATTTGAAGGTAGGCTTTACTTTGATTGTTTAGAGCCTCGGCTCCATACAAAGCACACCCTATTTGTATTAGATAGGCATCTTTATAGGAAATGTTGTGTACCACTTGTCTTGAGGAAGCCTGGGTGTATTTCTCGAAACCACATCGCCCTAAAATCTAAAATCGCTTATTTCCTTGCGATTGCCTTTCACATGCATGCCACTTCCTTTGGATGACTCTCGATACCCAGGGGTACAATGGTCATTTTTCCAAATTTGGAAGCAAGTGATTTGGGGGCATTTTAGCTAGGAAAATCTTATTTTATGAGCACGTATATTGTGCTCCCTCGGCGGTTAGAAGTTCTACCTGAGAGACTTTTTTCAATCTAAAATTTTAAAAACTGTTCAAAAATTATTAGATGATTGTTATAAAAAAAAATTGACATTCACTCAACCACTTCAATCTCACCATCTAAAAATTGGGTGGCCTCTGTTGAATCCGAGATATGATTTTTTTTCAAGTACATAGATAGTACAATTAGGAATTTCTTATATGCAAATTCATCCATATGGGTTGAAGAGGTGACACATCTAAATTTTCTTGTCCTAAAATTGATTCTAGGTGGATTTTTACCCAAGAAAACAAATGAACATTCTACTCTTGAGGGAGTAGAGTATCTTTTAGTATATTTTATTAATTTTTGGCAACTGAAGAGAGACAAAAAAAAAAAAATGCAGAAAAGAGGTTACTTGTCAATTGTGGTTGGTTAAGGAGGAGTGAAGCAGAAGCACTTATTTTCCTACTTCTTATGTTTATTGACATGGTTAGGTATACTCTTTTATATTATTTTAATCATGTCGCTTGCAAAATTATTGCGTAGTTGTTAGGGTGGGATGACCTCAAAAATAGGATGTGGAGGTTTTAATCTCACCTAATCTTTAATCCGAATGACAAAGAAAGACCCTAAATATATTGAAAAGATAATTCATTAAACAATCATCATCTTTTGATGAAATTATAAACATTCATCATTCTCTTGGTGAAATTTTAAATATCTCACTATTTAATCAAATCCCATATGGCTTTAAGTGTTATAAATAGTTGATATTTTAGACGCGGATCCTCATTTAAAGGGCAACAAGATGCCCAAAGTTTATGACAAAACTTCCTCACCCTGGTGAAGGCATTTTTGGACCGGCCTAGTAAAAGTATAATCTCGTTCTTAGAACACCTGGACCATATAATCTCGTTCTTAGAACACCTGAGCGGACCAGTGTTATCTCCTCTAATCAAAACTGATCTAACTATAAGTTGCATTGGTTTTATTGGATGTAAAATACAAAGATAAATATGAATAATATTTTGAAACATATAACGTATTAAAAAAAATATTGCTTGGCTTTTGTTTGGCCAGTTAAAACCCACAAGTTGGATCGGATAAAACCGCTCAAACATTAATTTTAACTATTTATTTTACAAAACCTAATTTTTGGTGGTGAGAAAAATGTACAAAGGAACACCATCCAGAGTTAGTAGCATATACAAGAACAATGTTTACAAAAAAAAATTATCCGATTTGGACTCACCCTATTTGGCTCAAAACTGGTGAAGCCAATCTAATTTGGTATCCGCAAATTGCAGTTCTGGATTTCTTAATTTTTTGTTTTCAATTTTTTATTGTAAGTAAGGTTTAGAAAAACATATCAGTGACCCAAATGCCCATCTAAAATACCGGTCCATTTTAGGAGATCGCAATCCAGATCGGTCATTTGGCTGAGTGAACTAGCAAATAAAAAAAAATAGAGAACAAAAAATTGAAATATTCAAAAATATTAAAGGCAGGGCCAATTTTATGAGAGAAACGACCGAATGATAGAAGAAACCATCCGATTCGAATATTTGGGGGATCCAAGCTGGCCCCTCAAGTCACGATCTATATTAACCGCTTTCGATCCGGATCACCATTGTTAAAAAACTCATGATTTTAACCTAATCAAATTCGGAAATGTTTCATGCTAAACCGGGTGCATCGATGCCTACCCCGGGCCCGATTCCATATTTTACAAAACGAAATATTCCAGTAAATAAGATGGGACATTTTGAGAAATATTAAAAAGGAAGGTCATTAAAGGCTCCTATGTGTGTCCTATTTTCAAATTTATATAAAGGATTTTGACAGTGGGCTTTTTGACTTGCTTGCTGCTAATTTAATTCGAGGCAAAAGAAAAGAGCGAGTATTGCACGCAAATTCTCTCTCTAATATTCGTCCAAAAAAATTTCTCTCTCTAAATTCTAACCAGCGTGACCTTTGGAATCTCCGCTTCACTTGTAACCCATCTCTCTCTGCGTGGGAAGGGGGAAGAAAGCTTTAAATACGATTAAAAAATATGGGGGAATTCACGAAACAGGTTGGTACCATCTGTGAAGTGTTTTTTCAGTTTCAAGAAATGGAGTGTTTTTTAATTCTACTGTGCAACTGAATTGGCGACTGTTTGTGGTTGTTTTTTTAGGTGGGAAAATGAAAGAGTGTTGATCATGTGGACTGCCTGTTTCTTGTTTTACAGAGCCATGAGTTATCTGTGAGTCATTCTTGCGAGCCTTCTTCAGAAGAATTAATGGCGGTTTCAGAGCAAGAAGGGACATTGAAGAGGTGCGAGAGATCAGGGAGCGTTATACTCGACGTCGAAAGCCTTACTCAGCTAGCGGATAAAGATTTTGCAGGGAGCCCCAAGGTTTTTGCTCTCACTCCTCTTTGTGATTCTCAAATTCTCGAATGAATTACTTCAGGTATTGGGGTTGTGCTTGATCGGTCGATGTAACAGTAGTATGACTCAAATTGAACAGAAGAATGGAAAATTTTGATGGGTTTTAGAATTGCACGGGAGAGAAGCAAACATCGTCAGTGTTTTAGAGAGACATGATATTTGTTTTGGGTGTTTTTCTGAAATCATAGCTTTTTGCAGAGAAATATCTCAAGAAAAGGTTCTTGTAATCGTGCCGAAAAGAAAGCAGTTGAAAGAGAAATTGTGGAAGTTGCAATAGCGGCAACAAAAGGTATCACACTTTCCGTGGATTCTTATTACTTTTTCTCTTTCTCCAAATCTTTCTCTTCATTTAGTCACCTATTGGTTTCTAAATTTCTCTCTCCCTAAAATTCTATGCCCACTCTCCAGTTTCTTTTGAATTCTGGGTACTTACCCTAAGTCTCTCTCTCTCTAAAATTGCAGGTTTGTTGTATGAGAACAGTAGTAGTATGAATCCTGAGAAATCAGTGATGGTGCCCATCAACGGCTCCTGCAACTCGCCCTCTGTTTTAGAGAGAGAAAGCAGCAATAGCAGGTGCAGGCGCTTGAGGCGGTCTACGTGGCTCGATCCAAGGAGGATCGTTCTCATCTTCGCCACTCTGTGAGTCTCTTATGCTCTCTAGAGAGGATACTGCACATCTTCTCAAAACACCTACTTCCACAAATTTGTAAGAAATATATATAAAGAGGCTATTTACTTTTATTACAAAAGGCCGTAAATATTCTTGTCCATCAGATTTTATATCGAGTGGTTGTTAAGAGTGTTATTGGCTAGACTCAACGCTCAAAATAATTTTTCAAACTTTATGATACACATAGAGCCATTTAATTTGACATTTAATCGTTAAGAATAATTGTGGCCTCTTTGTAATAAAAATAAATGGTATCATACACATATTATATAATCCTAAGTTTTTTTGGTTTAAAATTTTAAGAAACACATAATAATTACTAGATGATTATTTTTTAAAGAAAATTAGAATTCTAAGTTTTGTAACATTGAAATCGAGCCCTTCACAATAATCTCTATTCAATATTAAGGTATTAGTATTTTTTAGTACATAGAGAGTTTATTTTGGAATTTTTTTTGGTCAAGATTATTCTATGAATTGCAAAGTCCCCAAAATTTGAGATCCAAAAAATATCTATAGTATGTGATTTTCAATAGTATCCCCCCTAATGAAGAGGAAATATTTTCACTTAATTGAGTTAATTAATGGGAGAAACACATAATAATTATTAGATGATTAGTTTGTAAAGAAAGTTGGAATTCTAAGTTTTGTAACACTGAAATCGAGTCCTTCGCAATAGTCTCTATTCAATCTTGAAGTATAAGTATTTTTTTAATACATAAAGAGTTTATTTTGGAATTTTTTTTTGCTCAAGATTATTTTATGAGTTGCAAAGTCCCCAAAATTTGAGATCCAAAAAATATCTATAGTATGTGATTTTCAATAGTATCCTCCCTAGTGAAGAGGAAGTATTTTCACTTAATTGAGTTAATTAATGGGAGATTTTTTTGGGGATTGTCAACAGTTTCGTTTCTTTAAAAAAGTGGAACACGTTTATTCCTTTTTTGCAATTTATTGATGAACGATTTCATGATTTTATCTATTTGAGTTTAATATATTGGATTGTATACAATGAGACCATTAACCTTTGATACAAAGTGGTTACAATTATTTATAACCATCCAATCTGAAATTTGATAGTTTGGATGTATCAAAAAGTTTGAGAAAATTTCTTTTTAAGTCTGAGCATGATCAATGAAATAATGACAGCCACCCACTTTCATGATCAAGATTAATATGACTATCTTGTACCAAAGATAAATGGTCTCATTCTATACTTTTCATTAATATATATATATATAGAAAGTACATAATGTATTGTATAACTACGTAGATAATAACGTAATTAAATGTCAATCGTTAATGGCATTCATCCGTTCTAGACCATTGATACTTTTTTTTTTCTTTCCATATTTAATTCCTCATTAGAAGAACACATTAATCTTAAAAAAATTACAACATTATGACCTTCTTACTTGTTGCATCCAATTTCAGATTACTTATGTTCTATGGATGGCTATGATCAGTTGCCATTTTAAATTTTGTCTATTGATCCTAAGAGTTTTCAGATTAATTTCCATCAAATTCAATCCCAAGAAAGTTAAATTGTGGATTATACTGGTTTTTATGCCTTTTAAACTTAGGAAAATTATAAAAAATATACTTTAATTTTTGGATTATCAAAAATAAACCTCAAATTTTTCTATACCTCATCCATGTCCCTTTCTTTACTCTTCGTATTTTTTTTTTACCAAAATTCATGGTTTGATGACTATTATGAAGGCTATTTTTGTCTACTCACCCAAAAAAAGATATGAATGAGGTTTTAAAAAATTTAGGATTTATTTCCAACAGTCCAAACATTAAAGTATATAATTTCCCTAAATTTTAATATTTGCCTTGATTTAGCTCCATTTTGATTTTGGAAAAAATTTACGTAAGGTTGCACCCTTAAAATGTAGAATTAATGCACCTCAAAATTCCATCGAGACAAGGATGGTTTAATGTTGGAAAACTCTCTACTTGATCATCTTGATATCGAGCTGTATATATAAATAAACAAATAAATAAATATTCTAGACCCCAAAATAGTGCAGTTTGCCACATATTATCTAGACTGTCTATTTTCAAGATTTTCATATGTTTATAGATCTACTAGATTTCAATGGTTTTTGAAGTTTAAAATTTTATAATAAAAAGATGAAAATAAATTTTCAGGCCAATCTAAAAAAATATTATACCAAAATTACATGTTATAATAAAATTTGGATGTGCACATTGTTCAAACAATTTGGTTTTTGAGGCTCAGTTCAAATTTTAGTTAATTACTTGTTTGTACTTAAGAATTTAACCCATGGCTCATTTGGTTCTCTCTTGTGGTTCTCAGGTCAAGTATGGGGACTATAATACTCATATACTTCACTCTAGCAATGAGCAAGATTAATACAGGGGATGAGTCACAGATAACATCAAACTAATTCCATACCAAATGATTCGATCATAGAGAGAGAGAGGGAGTCTTTTTAAAATTTAGAGAGAGAGAGAGAGAGAGAGTACTTTTAAATTGAGAGAGAGAGAGAGAGAGAGAGAGTAGTTAGTTAAGTTAAGTTGTTCTTTACTTACTACTTTCTTTCGTCTACTAGTAGGAAGAACGAAGTAAGTCGGACGACGTAAGTGGTAGACGAGTATAGTAGGTAA